TAGCGTTTATTTTAAACACATTACTCTTACGCAAATTCTCATGGGTACCGGTGGATAACAGGGCAGACTAACCATGACGCTACTGTAAAGAATTTTGTGATTTGACCTAAATTTGCTAATACAATCAAATGCGTTGCTTATATTTAGAATGAGTAGCTTTCGATTCTACCAGTAGATCATGAATAATAACACATCTTATGAGAATGAACCAAGCATGGTCAAAATGCAGTCCACACCGGATGAGGAAACCTTTTGGAAGGCAACCTAAAGAAAATTCAATGGCATCATAAGGTTTACTCTTTTATTGTAAAAATATTAATTTATCAGTCTTTAACCTGCTTATTCGATCTAGAGTGAAGAAAGTTCTTATTAGGGGTCTATTGTTAATACCGAAACCTACTCACTCTGAATATTTTTGGCATGAAAAGCATTCACTTTTGAATAAATATATTCCATATCTATTTATTTCACACTCTAAGCCCACTTTTGCATTACAAAATCCTTTACTCTACATATTATTATATATCTCGTGTCGAAGCAGTTTACAAGTTTCATTCAAAAAGGTGACCACGAGGATCAAATATCGTTAGGCAACTTTATTTAAAAGATGAGCTCTATATTTCTAAAAGAACACAGTATGTATAAAGAGTGCTTACTCCTCTTAGTTTTTACATCTTAAATTTAATATGTAATATATAAGAAAAAAATTATGTAAGGGAACAGGATGGTATAGTAAATGTATGAATATTGTTTGGCCATTTCAGAAAAAAATAAAGATACAAAGTTTTTATTTTAACTAGGATGAAGACTAAACAAAGGAACAGTAGCACGTGATTGGACAAAGAAGAAGGAGTGGCTGAATTCTATAATAGTGGTGAGAATAATACGGTTGAATGACAGTAATAGAAGTAAAGATGCACTTTAAAATGAATACTCTTGACGAGACTCAAAAAATTCGGTTAGACCATCATGATTTATAAATATAAACTCAAACAGTTTTAACAGTTATAAAAAAAGTATAGTTACTGGGCATTTACCTAAGCAAATCTGCTGGCTGCTTCGATATGGTGCCTTGTGCCCACGAATCAATTGAACAGGCATTTGGCTCAACTAGTAGCATAAGAATAATATATTTTACTGTAGATTTGTTGCAACTGATATCTGTCGTGAGAAATATCAGCTGGTTCGATAAAATGTGCCTTAAAGTCAAAGTAAAATATTAAGATGCTGCCTTGCTTCTAATAACAACGTAATAGAATTTGCTGCATGACACACTGCAAATGGTATAAGTTGTTTATTAAGATATGATTTATAGGTTTGCTCTAAAGTAGCATTTAAGATTTCTAAGACGATGTCATCAATAAATTTATCTGATTCTTCTGTTTCTATTATTTGTAGCCTAAAACAAAATATTTCAAATTATTTCAAACCATTCACTTGTCGTAAACTTTGATGATATTATTTCTTGTGGAATAGAAGGGGTATTGATGGTTTTTGTCTTTTCTCGAGACTTGGAAGCTTGTGGCTTCGACATAATGTCATGCTATCAATAAGCGCACAAAGCTAGACCCATAACAACTGTAAATAAAAACAAAACACACATATGTTATACCTATAAAAACAAAACTCAAAAATGTAATATATTATATATAATAAATTGTAATAGGTAAGTAATGTTTTATTTTTAATGGATATTATATATATATATATATATATATGTGTGTGTATGCGCACATATCTTGGATTAATTTGCCCCGCCCGAT